AAGGTGTATTCGGCACCTTTGACCCTGCCCGAAGGGCGTATGATCCGAACTGGCTCCCAATGGATTGCCGTTTTAACACCGCCCAGCGTCCTCGCGGGTCAGGCTTTGGTTGTGGATTCCCCAAGAAAATTCACCTGCCTTGGCCTGGGCAACCCGGGAGTATTCCACCCACAAACAAATCATGGAACGCTTGTCTCTTTTATAGAATATTGTACCTCGATTTGTTTGCACACAGTCTGAACTCAGACGTCATATATATATACATATATATATATATATATATATGTATATATACGTTTTCGCTCCTTCGTAAAAGAATGCCGTAGAAGTACGGAACACTCTCCACTCTACTCACATACTTCTGGTAGCCTTAGTGTCATAGACGAAATGCCGCAGAACAAAACGTAGGCATTGAAAGCGCAGTTGGAGAAAAGCTATGCTTCCTAGAGTATGCTGATGGCATCGTTTGCCTGTTCTGAATGATGCACAAAGAGCCCTTGAAAAATCAACAAGTTCCGTCGCTCCGTTCGGTATGCGCTTTGTATCTTCAAAATGCAAAGTGATGCTATAAGACTGGGTGTCGCCGAGTTCGGTTCTGAAAATAGACGATTGGGAATTGGCGGAAGTCGACTGCTTCCCGTACTTGGGTAGCTGCGTAATCAACGAAGGTAGAGCATTAAGAGATAAACGTGCGCATTTCCCAGGCCCAAACAGCGTACGCCAGACTTGACTACGTTTCGTTTCACTGAAGTTGAAAAGTCGCGAATACTGCACAACTGCACGATCAGTTCAGCTTTGAACTTGCGGGTAGAAGACATTCGTCGGTTGGCAGTGTACGACAATCGATGCCTATTATGTTTGGCGCAAGTTGGATGAAATGAGGGGATTAGTAGCTTAGAAGTAAGTCGCCAGGTGTTTAGGAGTGCATCGGAAAAGAACTCACTATCGCATCGATTCCAGCTCAATAGGCTCTGTTGGTTAGGACATATTTTGCTTATGTTTGAAGGTCGACAACCACAGCTTACCTTATTCGCAGTAGCTGTTGTAGACTGGAGAAATCCACATGGCGGCCAGCAGATGACGTGAAGAGGCATGAAAAATGCACAGCGCGGTTAGGTTGAGTAGGTGTATCTCGACTTGCGGGTTGGGGTCCAAAATACTCCGTAACCGAATGGTTGGAGACACTGAGGGTCATCACTGCGAACCAACAGCAGTGGTGATCATGCTATCACTTCTTATCAGACCAGAATGCGTGAAATGATATGTAAGCACAGCTGAACTGTGTTGACTACAGAGGTTCGCTTTCTTTTCTGCCCTCCGATTGTGCCCAATTCCTCTCCATCTTGTACTTTCTTACTTGCTTTGTGTACATTGTGAGCTTGGCAGTGATCAGTGAAGTTCGCTTCACTGTATCTCGCTGTACGGTGATGATTATGCACGAGGCCTGACCCAGTCACCAGAGGGTAGCACTTGACACTGCGTCCTGCATGTTCGGGTTCGAGTTGTCGCGAAAGCGGTGCTGGTTATTCCCTGTAAAGATACTCCAGCATTGTTGTTGCTGGTACGTATCGGATGAATCAGTGGTCGTTTATTTCACCGCCCAAGGGCACCCATATGCGATCTGAGTAATTTAGCATGAACCACTGAATCATGCACGAGAACAGTAAAATGACGTTAATCATAGTTTTACTTCTCTCTAGCGAATGCAGTTAAACTGCACCCCGCCAGTGTGATGACTTGCGCACACCTGTGCCTCGACGGGCTACGAAGAATAGCGTCTGTCAAGCCGAAGGATGCAACCTTGCCTGTTGTGATGATCTGCAAGTGACTGGTCGCACTTGCCCGATTGACTGTATGCCAATCATAAAAAGTAGGTAGAGGCGACTACCTCTAGATTTGCAATAAGTTCGTCTAGGACCTTCTTACTGATTAGAATGGCTGCTGATCATGGCACTTCTAATGCCCGTTAAACAGTATGCAACGCAACGAACCTTGTATCCGAATATGGATAAACATATTGAGCCTGAGAGGATCACTGGGGTCGCTTAGATGCTTATCAGTATCGTTCCTAATGCAAGACAAATGAAGATTACACGGTCTTTTATAACCAGAATCATCATGTTACTAAAGTAGTTGAAATTCGTGGAAGTTAGATTCCGTGAACAGCAGACCTAGTACCCCCTTTAGCATTCTTATTCAGCCATTATGTTTCACAAGCTCGTGGTTAATGTCTATTCTAATATTTTTTCATAGAAAGCACAAAATCTCGTAAAAAGACCTCAGTGCCCAAATGCCCGATTACTTCAAACTGTGTAGTATTGCTGATTAATCTTCAATGTTCTTACTCGAACGAAAAAAGAGGAAAGTTTCCCAAGAGAATCGAAAGCAGGGTGTTCTAGCTCCTGTCCCCTAACTGGATGTTCATGACCCATAAGAAAAACAACCTGACGGCGAAATAGCATGGAACAAGACTTTGGAAAGATTAAAATAACGCATTTTCCAAGAGTTTACTGTAGACGACTTTCCCGTTTTCCACTGAATACAGCCTTCCACCACCCAGAGCAATTCTAGTAAATGCCCCATCTCCGTTACATGCATCTCCCTGTCCAACACAGTATGGAATCCGTTTAGCAAGTCAATTCTCATTTGGTACTCGTCAGTGACCCCGACAAAACGTGAAGGATGTATGACCGAGTTGAGTTGTCAAATGAGGCAGTAATGACAAATTGGTAAAAGAAATTTGATCATTTTCGAACCTTGCAAACGATCATTCCTAAAGTCCTAAGGGTTTACATCAAGAAATGAAAACTCTGCATCAGTAACTAATCGCTTTAGTGAAAAACTGTAGTAGAGCTGTTAAACTTGTTTGTGGCGAGGAGAGGCCAGTGCAACCGCAGTGTTGAAAGGCGAACTGATACTGTTCGGACTTTTCCAAACAGCAATACACATGATTATAGTTTGCTTAATTATTGTGGTGTATTTGAGAACACTTGCGACAGTTTTGGTAGATGGTCGGATTACCAATCCAAAAAGTGACCGTTTCAACTCCATAAGAGTGATTGTTTGGTGGTCACCGACTGGAGTGTATCTATCGAAAACCCGAAGAGACTGCACCCGGTGGACGGATAAAGTGTCAGCTAGCATACAAAAGGCTCAGTTGGCATTTGCCAACTTCAGACATCTGTGGCACCGTCGCGACATCCGGCAGCCTGTGAACGGTCGAGTGGATGCTACAGCAGTTCGGCGATATGGAGCAGAGATCATGGTCACCGATGCTTAGAGACACTGAGCGATATGGGTGGGTGTCGCAAACATTGGCGCTCATGCATCTATGAAAATGTGCCATCTTCCGCTTGCATCTGCTCTGAACATTCTAATCATCATCCTGCTATTTCGTCCAAATGGGCAACGAAAGTGCATGGTTAATGGCTGTAAAAACTGATATGGAGCAGAAACTTGGCCATTAAGAAAACAGGATAAAGACTACAGACTGTCGGTGTTTGAACACCGCTGTCTGCGCAGTATTGCACGAATCTAGTGGGGTAGCCGGACGAGCAATGCTGAGGTTAGGGGCAGAGTTTTGGGTAAATACGGCCGCCCACTGGAGCAAGTGGTCGACCTCCATAATTGATTGAAGCATGTCACCAGATAGGTTGTCACCGCGAGCAATGTTTGCCGAGGCAGGTAGTAGGTAGAACAAAAGCCAAGGGTGGTCAAGCTAAGACTAGGCATGAGGGTATGAAAGCCATAACCAGGAAACTGGGTCACATAGGTCGTGTTAGGCTCCCTGGATGGGATGATGGTACCCGATAGTTGGAGGCAGTGATATGGCTAGTAATCGTAAACAATGGCGTTCGTGCATCTTCTCAATTTTCTCTTCGAACCTACTTTCGGCCTTCTTGTTTTCCTCCTATTGTTCATCCAAATGGGCACACGAAAGTGCATGGTTAATGATTGTATAAACTGAACGAAACCCCGTTCAGTCGAAATGAACCAACTTGTCCATATGCTTGTGGAGTGGATTACCAAAGGAGGTTAACAGTTTCGGTGTTATGGAGTTTGACTGTTCACCGTGCTCCACATACCCCTTAGCAGAGAGAGCTTTGGACGAGAATAAACTATCCCGGAGGTCATGGATCAGCATAGACCGGGTCAAGAAGCAGATGATGTCCAGATGGATTGATAAATCGGTCTAGACCCTCAATAATCTAGTGAGTAAATCTGATTGAGGCATAGGATCCCCGTAACAACACCGTTTCTTTTACGCCAGATACGATTGCTTAGACATGTGTGGCAATAAAAGGGTCAATTGATAATTTGCTTAACAATGGTACAAATATACAGCGAGAGAATTAGGAGCACCACATCTGCGTGGAAAGGTCAAATTTGAACTCATACACTGGTTCACAGGAATTGGGTCTTTTTGCCATAATTCTCGGATTGAATACTGCATGCAATTTACAGTGTCAAAAGCTTCTTCTCTAGTTACTCAATATATTTCCTCGTCTTTCGAGTATCATTTACAATCCTCATCAAATCTGTGCAATCCTCATGGCTTGATACTTTCACACTACGAGCTTCATGGGACATCACTTTTAGGCAATTGCAGGATTAGACCCATGGTTGCCTTATTTTTGATCAGCGATTTTCTCCTACGCGAGAATAAACGTGAGAATGGGTCAAGGAATTACTCGCCATTCAACAATTGCGGTGACATGAAACTTTGGACTTAGCCAGCTGAACACACCAATACGCAGAATGGGCAATATAAGGAAGAGAAAACACATCTTTTCAAGTGCTTGGACGAACGATGAGCCTATTGGGTTGGTCAGAACGCCACGGTTCAAACAGACAAGCTTGGTGGCATAAAAATTGAAAATCTTGCAGTGCTTCTGACATAAAAGGTACGGATAAAATAGGTCGTTAAAAGATAATCGGGGATAAAATGAATTGGTAAAAATGCATCCAAATTGTTCGCGGAAATTTCATAGTGCACGATATCAGTCCGATTGCAAACATGTTGGGCTCGCGTTGACCCGGGGCTTTTGAAACGACCGGTTCTGCATTTCATCTGGTGATACCGGGGTCAGTATATGCAGATCGCCTATGAATGCAGATGAAACGTATAACAAAGAAAAATAAAAGGAAGAAAGTCTCGAAAGAAATAACAAATTGTGGACGGTTAAAACATACGTGAATCAGACAGAGACTGGACGTCACACAATATTTAATGCCATATCTTTCAGATGAAGGTTAATCTCCTCAGTCACGTTTTGCATAATGTACCTGATCTGAAAGTTTTTGTTGATACAAACGGTATTTATTTCATTCATCAACTGCGCGTGCTTTTAAAGAACTGTAAAAAAGTGTAGGCACTCAATACAACGAGCCAGTGGTCCGAGGAAACTTGTACGTCTACCAGGATGCGAACGTTCCGAAAAACTGGACTGTTTGAGATATATGCCTACCGTCTAGTCCGATCGCGTGGACCTTGTTTGTATTTGTATGGAAATTTGCATGGACAAAAAGTTCGCATTTGAACCAACAATCACACATCTCATCGAAAACAATTCGAATTTCACAGTTAACTTTTAAAATTGATGAGAAATTCAGCAGAGACCCACTGTCCATTTGCCAGGACTCCAGCGAGATAATGAACTGTAGATATTTTTGCGGAAGAATAAATATGGTCCGCTGTGTGGGCGGTATTTGAAAAAAATAAAATGTGTGATATGGGTAAATTACAAAGCCGATGCTAAGTGAACTCAATGGTATCTGTACACAATGGGTTCGGTTGATTATACAATTAAATGGCAAATTGTAGCATTCACTCACGGGTACTGAACAGTTAGGTATTTCATTGCTTCATCGAGCCGTGACTTGAATCAATAGTTTTTTTATTACACAAAAGTGAATACAGTAGAAAGCGTAAACTCCATGGTCCGAAAATATACTTAGAACCAGCTTGTTAATTCTGCGTTTAAAAACAAGGATGTTATACGCTGGAGGGAAGACCGAAAGGGGGAGTGTGTTCCACAGTTATGCTGTCCTTGAGAAAAAGATGATTGGAAGTTAGAAATAGGACACCTAGAGATGGCCACTCGAAACGGGTGGCTAGCCGCTTGTGCGCGGGATCGACGAGGAGGAACAAGCGGGAGAGGAACAGATTCAGAAAGTTCATCAGAGCGAAATCCAAAGTAGTATCGATAGAACAAGGATAAAGAAGCGACTGCCCGGCGGTGAGCTAGTGACTGCAAGTTCGATGTTAGGGACCGGTCGTCGACGGAAGGCCTTACCATGAACCCGATCAAGAAAAGAAAGAGAGGTGGACGAAGCTCCACCTACACATGACTGCAGTATTCAAGTGTAGGGCGAATCTGAGATTTGTGAAGCGAGAGGAGGTGAACAGGGGTGGAGAAACGTCTGGCACGGAAGAGGAAGCCAAATTTGCGCGCAGCGTGGGAAACAAGTAGATAAATATAAGGCGTCGATGAAAGAGAAGAAGATAAGGAAAGACCCAATAGGTTGCATAATTTAGTGGAAAGGAGTGTTCGAGTTGAAAGGAAGGGGAGAAAAATGAGTGTTCAAGATAAATGGACTTAAGGGAAGTTTGCTGGCATTGAACAGAACACGATTGCTACAGCCCCAAGCAGAGATAAGGCCCAGATCAGAATTTAGGGAGAAACGGAGGGAGGAGCGGTTGTCACTAATGTTGGAGTTAGTGATGCGCGAAGAGGAATATGACAGAGAAGAGTGTAGAGTAGCGTCATCGGTAAAGGCGTGAATAGGATTTGAAGAAAGGTTATCAATAAACATTAGAAAAAGAGAAGGGGAAAGTACAGAACCTTGGAGAACACCAGCATTTACAGACACGGTACGAGACATGGCTCCATCTACTTTGACGGAGATGCTGCGTTCCTTGAGGTTGCTTGCTGTCCAGGACACAAATTCCGAAAGAAAGCCAAACTTGGGTAGTTTAGCCAGCAAACTGGCGCGCCAGACACGATCGAAAGCTTTCGATATATCTAATGACACCGCATGGGTTTTCCCG